CTCCTCCACCTCCTCCTCCCCTCCTCCTCCTCCTCCCTCCACCTCCTCCTCCTCTCCTCCTCCTCCTCCTCCTCCTTCCATCCTCCTCCTCCCCCTCTCCCCCTCGCCCTCCACCTCCTCCTCCCAATCTTCCTCCTCCTCCTCCTCCTCCTCCTCGTCCTCGCTGGCTGTGCGCAACCGTCCAGTTCCCGAGGGCCACACGGCGCACAGAGGAGGGGGGAGGAAGAGGAAAGGGTGGGGGGCAGCTACCCTGGTAGCTGCGTTGCTTGCGCCATCCAACTCCGACCGAACCTCTTGCCGTCGTATGGATTGGCACCAGCCTTTTAATCCAGTCAGGTTCTGAGCGGTTCCTCGATTGCGGGGGCATCCTGGGCATGGGTACGAAGCTACGCGAGCGCGCACTGCCGACCACGCCACACTTAGAGCACCAAGCCACCCCCCCAAATCCGAGCCACAAGCGGTGCGACTTACCCGCGTTCCTCGCAGTCTCTGGGAGCCCGCTGGAAGGGGCCAAACACAAACCACACAAGGAACGATACGACCCAGCTCCGCTCTGAACAGCTTTGAGGACAGTGTGCCCGTTAGCATGAACAATTGATTCCAGCCTTCCCGCTTTCTGTCTAGAGGGGGCCTTGATGGTCGTGCCATCCTTGATTCCCCCCTCCGAAAGGGCAAATAACATCGAAGCCTAGAACATCCCAATCTGCCTAAATTGCGCAGACAAGGATACGTACTGTGCTCGGGCCCACGGATGTCTTGGATGAAACTGGCCCCGCCCCCCGCAAACCGACCAGCTTCGCGATATCCCGCCCAGGTCCAGCCAAGGATTCACTGGTCGACCGCTTTCGCGAGGGAGGGGTGGTACCGAATTCTAGCAGGGTGATGCGTTCTCCCCCGCAGCCCTGGCGAATGGCGACGATCTGCACCCAAAGCTCTGCGTACGCAAGGCCATCGATGCATTGCCCCAGCTTGGTCCGCCATACATCCAAGACCATCTGACAATCTGTTGCGATTGCGACAGGACCAACAGCGAGAAACCGAAGACACACGAGCAGCGAATGCACCTCCCCCACATCCAGCCTCTTGCACGGGATGAGGCAAGGGGTTAGATGCTCATTCTGGGGACCTTCCTGGAGCCACTCGCTCCACTCGTGCGTCGAAGCTGCGTCGAACCTGAGTCGAACCTGAGTCGAACATGAGTCGAACCTGAGTCGAACCTGAGTCGAACTTGAGTCGAACCTGAGTCGAACAGATCCATTGGGTGGGCCCCAGGAAGGTCCCCAAAACGAGCATCGAAAAGGGGCCACACAGAGAGGCAGCGACAGCGTGAACATATGCGAAGCCCTCTGTGAGCGGAAGCTCGGGGTCGATGGCCGAGCCGTCGATGCAAAACCCTCATCCTGAGAGGAGGCCGGCGTGGGGCCTCCTGTCCCAGTAAAACAACACGAAGATCGGGACAAAATCGGATCGGGATAACTCGAAATCTCTGAGAATCGGCGGGTTTGGAGGATGTATTGGGCGCCGCGGCCGCTCCAGAGCGTTCCGGAACGCTCCGAGAGCGCTCCAGAACGCTCTGGAGCGATTTATCCCGATCCTAGCCCTGTTTTACTCAGACAACCTGGTCATGCTGATCGGGGGCAGGCCACACGACTTCGGGGGAGGGCGCCCGTCCACGAGTGTAGTCCACCAAGCACGCGTATGAATGACTGGCTCCGATATCAACTGGACTTCCATCAAATCAAGCACGCGTCTGAATTCACTGGCTCTGATCTCAACTGGGCGTAAGTCAAGCATATTTCGAAGCCCAGAACGCGCTGGGCACCTATACGGTGTGTGAATATGCGTACCAGGCTCTTGGCAGCATACCTGACATAAGCAATCAACCACTTTGCGGTCCTCAAACAAGCATGCTTGCGTGGGGGATCCTCCCGACACGCGCCAAGACAACGACCAGGATTTCGTCTTGCTCTGCTCGACCACACCCTCCGATACTCGCGGCACAGCTTGACCAAATGCGCGACGAGCGGGAGAGACGTCGCCCCGAACAACTTCATACCAACTCTGTCCCGAAGAACTTCCAAGGTGTCCCTCCTGATCAGCTTCCTGCGACGTTTCTCCCAAAGGCCCCGGATGCCCAGGGTGATGCCGGAACGAGTCTTCCAGAGGCACCAGCTCGTCTGGCTCCAGCCGACATCTTGTCGAAATGAGAGCAACTACTCCTGCAGGTCCTCGAACATTAAACTAAGCGGGGTTCGGCCAGTAGGGAGCAGCACCGAAACAAACTCGCAGGGCATCTGGTGACGCCCAACCTCCTCGTGCTGCCTGCGACCAAGCTGGAAGGGGCAGCTCGTTCGCAGAGAACTCTGGATCTGCGTCGGGCTTGGCGGGCATCCTGAACTCCAACGTCCTGCTCATGCCTCGACCGACCCTGGAAGGCCCTTGGGCGAGCGAGGCGCGACGAGATCGAGCCCGCCTGTCATCCATCCCGCTCGCACTGGCC